GGGTTCTACCAGAACACCAACACCGGCCTGAGCGCGAGTCGTGATATCGACGCGAGAGTAGAACAGCTTGAATCGATTGAGGTTCAGGAGCACAGAGCCTTGGCGTTTCATTGACGACAATCCAACAAAGTCGAGTTCGTACCTATGGCCTAATCAGCTAATTCTTGTTCTTTTCCTCTCTCTGAGGATATGTTCCAGTTTCCGACTTTTAGCTGCCACTAATGGTATCGTTCTCGTGGACCCTTTTCTGATGTGTAAAATGGCACCGCGTTGTGTGCGAACGGGTGGCGACTCAGATGCTGACTGGTATCTTCGTCGTCGTTTCGTGGGTCTTCGTCAGCCGTCGTTGTGCTGCTACGACCCCGGCTGGCAGACTGCAATGAGAGCAGGTTCTGATCGCCGACTTTTCGCAGTCTGCCTCAGTCCCCGAACAGCCTGCCCTGACCTTGGTAACCCGGCGACGATCGAGCCGATATGATTTTCGATGGCGTCAATACCATGAGTTGCAGGTGGCTAAACTTTACGGATAATTGTCACGGTCTCCAACCCTCCTCTTTTCTCAACCGGGCTTGGGATCGGCAACGGCGGAGTTGAGAAAATCATTTATTCTACAATTGTTAAATTATATTCGAAGATAGTTGTAGGCTGGAAGATTAAGTAAAGTGCAAATTCGTAAGACAATCCGTTAAGAAATGGAAGAAAAATGTCGTATCGTAGCAAAATGAAGTGAAAATGGCTCGGCAAATAAATCAGACGAGCTACAATAGCATCGGACGAGCTACATCACCAAGAGCCATCTGGTTGATTAAGAGCAGTTTTGACGCACTCCAATAATTCCAACTCTGATATTAAATAGTAGCCCCTAGGTTCACTGATGGCTCACAAAACAAATGCAATAACAGAAGAGTCAAGCCCAAAGAATAAATTTTCATTCTGAAAAACCTTGCATAGTGTGTCATCAGAAACTTTTACCCGTTTGACAAAAGAGAAAGTATATATTACAGCAAAACTGTGTACTATATATACCCCAAGCAACAAACACAGAATATACCATGTGCAACATCCATTAATAGTAAAAACTAGTCGAGCAATTTAAAAGTACGATAGCAGAGTAATGTTATTCAATAGCAAAATAAATTGAAACATGGTAAAGACAAAAAAAGAAGCCACATAGAGCATTTATTTAGCAATCGATTCCAGCTGGTTGAAACGCTTTGACAGCATATTTCATCACTGATATAGCAAGCATGGCACGTTTTCATGAATGCTGACGCCCCTGTTCAAAGATCGCTGGTCCCTTGAGGAGGAGTATCGCCATCGATAGCCAACACAGTTCTGCGGTGCTTGAAATCCTCTACGAAGTCCATCGCAATACTAATCCATAGTATCCTAGGGTTAACGATCGCAGATGGTACGCTCATCTTCCTCATCTTTTTAGCGTCAACTTGTAGTCCCATTCCAACAGTATTGTTGCACACCCTTATGGTGAATATCAAAAGGCCACTAGCAGAGTCGCACGAGCAACCAGCTGAAAATCTCCAGGTACATCGCTGACTGACCGTCTATTCCTTGCTATAATTTAGGCAGACGCTATTCCGCATAACATAATTCGCCATAATGCTAGATAACAAAGGAAAGAGCATTTGGCCTTGACGAACTCCACTGGCGACATTTAGGCTACCAAATAATGACCCTTTAGTTCAGGCGGCGAACTTTGATCCTTCGTATAAGAACTTGAAATATATTTACCATCAAACGTGAGATCTTAAAGTACCGAATGGCAAGCCACGTTGTCTGGCGATGAATTGAGGCAGGGGCTAACCGAAGTCGAGAAATATTGTGCCACGGCAGTTGAAATATTCTGTCATGATCGATTCTTTTCAGCACAAAGATACTATATGTGCACGAATGTCCGTTTTGAATGCGTTTAATTTTTTCGTAACCAATCACCTATCGCCTCCTTCGACCCTTCAATGATGATCATCATGAGCGGGTTTCCTAGGGCATGCAGAAAAGTGGTTCAGTGATGGCTTGTATAATAGTCGCTACTCCCAGATTTGAAAATTAGGATGATTACTGAAAACAAATGGGCCCAGCGACGCTTTTGATGCCACTGTTTTTGATTTCGGCACCAATCGTCTTATTCCCCAATTACTTCGAGCATCGTCAGAGAGGTATCGATTCTCGAATTTCTTCCATGGAGTGGGGCTTACATCCAAATCTTGTCTAATGATCTCTTTCACTTCAAAATCTAGCGTAAGACAAAACCAATTGAAGCTCTGCGAAGTGATCAAGGCATCGCTTACGAGGGTCACAAGGGTCTTGCAGCAATTCAGTGTAACAAGCTTTTGGTATGCTTCCGTTTACCTCATTTGATGATGGTACGCTCCTGGTTATACAGCATCTTCACGCCGCCGCATTTTCCAACTTCAGTGTTTCGAGGTCCAGCCACTGTTGCCTGTCCTTGCGTTAGCTCCTGTTGATCACTTCATAAGAAAGGGATGTGGCTCTGCTTCGCCTCATCAGTTCATATAATTACATGTGCTTAGCCGCGTTTCCTCCCTGCGAAGATTTCATGCTTCTGTCGTGACCCAGGGCTACCTCGTGTTCCTGCTGCTGAAGCCAATAGGCTTTGCAGCAGTGTAGACTATGCCTTCTTTAAAGCAACTATATAGCAGTTTCAGCCTCAGGAGATGGAGACATCGCCTCTGGCACCGAATCTGAGGCTGATCACCTATAATGTTTTGCAGTTTTCAGAATCAGACAAGGCATCCCCGCCTTCTTTTCTGGAATGTCCTCCAGACGGTGCCAGAGAAAGAGGAACTTCGCAACCACTAGTAAATGTTTAGCTCCAAAGTCTGCAACTGGTTCCGATCGAGTACCCTGGAGAGCACTTCGTCGTCTGTCGCTGATTGACACATGGTCGATTTGGTTTCTGAACTTATCTTTTAGTGCCGATGGGTACGACGATGCGGCTACGTCATGCCGATGGCAAACGTCCGACAAGCAGTGACAGTTGCTATTAGCAAAACCACTGCTGTTGACCTAGTACGCGGGGTCGGTTGCCATGATTGATATCAAAGTGAAAGCTGAGGTTACCAGTGACAATCGGTAACTGATTTTACAAAATTGGTAACTGATCGATACTGACAAAATCGGTAACTGATTTTACATGCATTTTACATGCAAGAAATGAGAACCGCATGAAGACAGACGTAGAACTAGTCCTTCTTCGAATGTTACACAACGTAAGGGAATACATGGCGCCAAGGTTCGTCTAAACGTGTCTCGTCACGAATGGCAAACGCTGATACTACCACTCATGTACTCGATGGATATCAAATCATTCCTCATTTTGGGGTCAGTAGAACTGCAACTCCAGCCTCGGGGGAGAATTCTGGTTACAAGACGAACAGAACTGCCATCCAACAGAACAGTCTATGATATCCATGGCCTGGTAGGACGGCCTTTCAGCGTCTAATAAAGTCAAGCTTCCATCGTGTTGCGAATCTGGCGAAGTCGTTCAGTCTGCAATAACAGCACCTTCCCGAGCAATAAACGGCTTATTGCGGTAAAGGTACATTTTCTGGGGTCAGATTTCGTGATAAATGCAAATTTTGTTCAACCACCCTGTAGATTAAAGTCATTCATCGAACAGGCACAGTAAACAGGGAAACCGACGTGAACGATGGAATTAAGGACTATTCTTCACCAAAAAATGACGCTAGATATCAGTCAGCCAGCCTCGAAGACCCCTTATCGTTTGAGTGTGGGAGCAAATAGCGTCAGGCTGCTGGACAAGAAAGATAAAATTCAGTAGATTCTAATTAAGATTCAATCACTTAACGCATTACACAATTCCATTCACATATTCATATCCTGATGCAACGTTTCAGTAGAACATTTTCCAATCAGCACATATATTTATCGTCAACAAAAATGTAACGTTCAGGTGGGAAAACAGTAACAATCAAAATATATTATAACAAGCACTATCGTAAGCTAAAACTATTCTGACGCTTTGAGCTTTAACAGGCATTATCTTCTACATCCATCATTTACGATCTATGTAAACTTTCCACTGCCAATAAGTGACTTTATCTTTTCTTTGTGATCTAAATAATAAACTGATTAATAAAGTTCATTTAACAACGACCGACGATCAAAATAATGCTGGCTGTAAAACTCTATAATAAAACTGATGAGGTAATCACTGAAATAGTACAATTTTTCATTAAAAAACGGTTACCATCTAATGCCCTAATGCGTTTCGTTGTTAACAATTCGCATTGGCATATCTAAAGAACGACGACCATTTTAAGCGAGGACGAAGTTTAGTTAGTCGCAATGGCGCGAATCTTTTCAACTGCCAGATACCATTCACTCAGCATCCTTGGGATTTCCTCTCCGCAAACGAATATCTGTTCAGAAGACAGATGTCCTAAGAAAAGGTTTCATTTATCTTCTATGAAGATTAAGTACAGTCGTCAGACCGCGATCAGTTCTTCCATTAGGGCTGATCGTCAGAGTTCACTTGTACATAAGCAATTTTCATTATTTGGTTACCACTGTCATTCAAAAGGAGTTCAGGGTTCAAAAAAAACTTTTCTGGTCACCAAAGCATTACGAAGAATACAATCTATTGTACTGACAAGCCATTCGTTACTCAGTCAATCTCTCAGTTCTGTTAAGTGAGAATACACAGAGGAAATAAGAATGCAGACCAAAATAAACAGGACGAAAGAAATTTGTGTTGCGATTTTCGACAATATAGAAAATATTTTCAAAAATCAGAATAC